GCTATTTGAAAATGAAACAATTGTTTTTACATTTAGTTGTTATTTATTCACCAAGAATTACATTTAATGAAATAATAAAATGTATTAGGTTCTACATCAAATTTGCATATACTTATTTGTAAATTACATKATGTATAGAATTTTTAACTGAAATCTCTAAAAATTAATGTTATAAAAACATGATCTCATGTTAATAGAGCTAAATATTTATTTAAAACATTTTATTTATACCAAAAACAAAATTAATTTTCAAAAAAAAAGTCCTGAGTTATTTTAATTAKTATTTATAAATGAAACATTTAATTCCATAATAGTTACTATTTAGATGCTTTCTACTAATATTTCATATTGTATTAAGTACTTAAATTATTATGTACTGTATGTCTGTATATTATATTTGTATTCATATTATAATAGACACTTTTATAGACTGTGTGATTCATAGTAAGATTGTTGCTGTTAGAATTATGAAAGGACCTGTCTACAACAGAACTAAACATTCATTTTATAATTTTATAAATWATACAAATCTTTTTAATTTAAGTTTTTGGTTGAACAGCAATATAGGAACTATAATATATAGTTGTATGCATTATTTTGTTGTCATGACTCATGAGAACTCATTATRTTTTGCTATTAATTAGCTGAAAACTGTATATTTAAATTTTTTGCTTACCTTCTTATTTTCATTATTCATGATTAMACTATTTAAACTACACTTTGTAATTTAAAAATCATTAACTATTAGTTACCTTACCACAGAACAATACACAGTAGTACTATTAGTATGGATAAACTATATAGTTCAAGTTCATTGTTCAAGATTRTTATAATATTAAATGAATTCTGGCGGCAAATCATAATATTATCAAATATAAATATTACGTATGCGCCATAGACATAATCTATTATGTCTATAGACATAATAGATTATGTCTATGGTATGCGCATATTATAATAATATGTTTTATTTTTATAGGTATATATTTCTATTTTTATTCTAATATGAATTCGGCGGCTATATGTGATACATATATTATTACATACATTTATCTTTTATCTGTGATGTGATATCAGCCAAGATATAATCACAGATATAATGATAATCGTGTATTCGTGTATCAGACTATAAATTGACTTGAAAAATAAGTCCACACGCATGCGCAGATCATTGGTTAAATGATCAGGCGTAGCATGTTTTAAAATTTCGCGTCCGGGAGCTAASTTCACAGACATAAAACAGTTTGCACAATGTTTTACATTTGTAAGACGGAAACTACAAATGCGGGTGTAGCGTCCTCTTAATATGTACATGGTCTTGATTCTACATTTCTACTAGTGAACAGTTTGGTGAAGGTAAATTTAAAAATGTTAATTAATAATGAAATTTTGACTCAAAATTAATGATAATATTATGGTTTATAGATGGCGTTGAATGTAGTGTGCATGAACCTGTCCTGGAAAACATTGGTTCTCATCTCGATTTATGATATACTGTCTAGTGTCTTCTAGTGGTTCTCATTGATAAAACATCAAGTGTATTCCGCCATTTCATCGTACATTGTTTATAAACACTATCCACAACTAACCTAACATAGTCACTTGTACATACTACAGCCAAAAAGCATGGTCGATTTTTTTTGTTTTGAACATAATATTATTTTGCTTCAAGTTATATTATTTAATATATACAGTTAAATTAATTAATACATTTTTATTGTTTTTATTAAATATTATTAGCGTGTTGTAATACATTAATACTCATTCATAAATAATTTTATTACACTATTTTTATCCGACTGTAAAAATAACAATTTTTTTTTGACATGGCTTCAGCAAATCCAAATGATCTCAACAAAATTTGGGAACTTTCTTTATACGAGTTGCATAGGTCTCCTCAAGAACCTATTACAGACAACACCGAAATTGAAATATCGCCACAAAGTCTACAAAGTGAACTGATGTGTCCAATATGTTTGGATGTATTGAAAAAGACTATGACTACTAAAGAATGTCTCCATAGGTAATTATAACACATTATTTTTTAATTTATAAAATATTATAATTATTAAAATGATAATTTTTTTTTAGATTCTGTTCAGAATGCATTGTGACTGCCCTTCGTTCAGGCAACAAAGAATGTCCTACTTGTCGTAAGAAACTAGCTTCTAAACGGTCCCTACGTCCTGATCCAAATTTTGATCTTATCATATCTATGATATATCCTAACCGTGATGAATACGAAGCACATCAAACTAGAATATTGGAAAAGTTAAATAAGAGTCACAGTCAAGCTAATTTAGTTCAGTCAATAAACGAAGGTATTAAATTACAAACTCAAAATCGACAACAACGAATCAAAAAGAACCAACATGAAGAACTAAATGAAAGTAGCTCATCAAATACTTCAAAACCTTCAAATAGTTCAAGTCAAGATAATGTAACAAGAACAATGGTGCAAACAAAAGTGGCAAAAAAGATAAAGTCTGTTATGATCTCGGAAAAAGAAGGACCCGACTCAACTGTTGACACCATGGATACTGCAGAATGTAATGGCGCTTCAATAGGTGTACCAGTAGATGAAATAGAACTTGTATTAAAACCTCATCCTACAGTAATGACCAGTGATAATCCRTTCATTAGTGTTTTGAAAGAAAACTCTGTACGTTACATAAAAACAACAGCTAACGCAACAGGTACCCCTTATAAATTAATTTACTTTATCACAATTAAACAGTACAGAATGAAATATCCTTTAAAAATTCTATATACAATTCTTTTTTTTACTGTTTAGATGTTTTTCATACTAGTTTTTTTTCACACGTTAAAAAATCAATCTATAACGACTAATAAGTAGTTAACATGCTATCAATTATTATTTATTTATTCAACAGTACAGGCCTTCAAGGATTGTAAAAACACAACACATATGTAGATAAGTAATCAAAATATAAAAAAAGTTGTATAAATTGTATAGCAGTATAGGTATAACATTGATGATKTAAGGACACTTAATGACTTAATTTTATACAAAAACATTTATAACTGTTTATCCCAGAAAAACTTTTGTAAAAAACAAAAAAGATATTCGAAAGAAAGTTCGAAGGAGGTCCRYGATTCCTAATAGTTTTTCATCTAGAATCAGTGTTCACCAAATGTTTAACCACTGGTCAAAATTGTGAAACTGAGTACCTATAAATATTCATGGATTAAGACTTTTTTTATGTATATTATAAAAGGGTAGGATTAAATTAGTAAAAAATATAAATGTGGAGTACTATAATAAAATTTTAAATCTTATATTATTCATAAGCGGTTAATATCTTGAATAATCCTACAAATTTAAGTGTAATAAAGTAGCGTAATCAAAATTTTCAAAATGATCATTACATATCCATATTTTTTTTTTTTTCTAGTTGATCATTTGAATAAGTACTTAGCTATGCGATTGAATGTGGACCTTGGTTCTGAGCTTCCGGAACAAT